GTATGAGAATATGGGACTCTTCACTGAAAACGCAAAAACATATTCAAAAAAACTTCTGAAGAATTTATTAAATTCGGGGAAATGTAAGAACTTAAAAATACGAATTCTTTGGCAGGAGTCCACGAATTTAGACCTCAGGATGTAATATACACCGCACTTTTCTAATAACGTGTTACTTGCTCTAATATACTTACTTACGCCTTCGAGACGTTTGAGGTCTTGACCAATCTTCATATAGGATTTCGCACCGAAGAAAAACAAGACGGCTAGTATGGCTATCAATATCAACATCCACTGATTTATTATCGCTTCCATGATCATTATGCCACATACTACGCAAAACCCTTGGATTGCCTCCAACATCAGTTTGGGCAGCCACTCATCCATGATGCCCATATCCTTCGAAAATCTGTTTAAAATTCTTCCTGGAATACAAAAATCATTAATTGTCTGGAAGAATCGAGAAAAGAAATTACAAGTCTGGGAATCGAAATCGATGTAAGTTCGATAATTTATTAGAATGAAAATGCTCGTAAATTTTCTAAACAAATTAAGAGCCACATCGTGGCTTATTTCAAGCTTATAATTAGAATGGCTTTCAATTAATACAATTGGCATAAGTTACATAAATATATTATAATATTTCAAAATAAAATTAATCAATTTTAATCGATAATTTGTAATCTTTGGTAATATGAGTATATGCAAAAAAAGTTTTGCATCATCGTTACGCTTTACTTTTTTATGGATAGTGATCATTACAACTTATAATAATATCACATTTGACAAAAATATTTGTTTTGTGTATCCGGAATGAACGTTTTGAAAACTCTTCAAAAAGATTCTAATAATACTTTAACAATTCTTATATTTTAAATTTCTAAGAATTTCTTTAAAAGAAATATCTTAACTTCTTCATTTTTAAGTTTTTTTTTTGGAATAATAAAATAAGAAATCTTGTAAATTCTATTTCAGAATTTACATCTATCTATAAAGAAATTTAGAAAAGTTACAAACTTTCTCAACACTTCTAAAAAGTCTCAATTCATTTAAAAATTAAAAAAATCTTTTTAAAAAATTTTAAGATTATATAAAAATTATGAAATATTCTAAAAATTACCTGAAAAATATTTTTAAAAATTGTCATATAAAATAATTTTTATGAAATCTCTATAAAGTAGTTAAGACGACTATCGTATTTCGTAACTATTACTCACCGGAAGAATTGTTGTGGAAGAAGGACATACGCGCCTGCAGCAGTTTGAAGAACATGATGTTGTGAAGATTACTTGAAGACTACTCGAGTTCATAGAGACCTTCATGTAAAGAAAGCTGTGAAACAGCGTGGTAGCGATGCAGGCGATGATGCAGAATGTGTATACATATATGGAATCCACAGTGCTCAGCAGGCCGTCCGGGTTCAACGTGAAGATCGATCCAAGAAAATCCAAGACTATCGTTGTACATGTTCAAATTGTTTGACATCACGAGTATTTTCAATACGTCTCACATTCTCCAAAGTAGTCCAGTATGATAGCCAATAATCATTCCCGGTAGTGGCGACTTGACTGATAATGAAGATCATCAGCAGTACAAATAGGATGAAATTATTATCACCGTTATGCAGATATTCTTTGTACACTCTGCCGGCTACTCGACCGTGCGCCGTCATCTCAGCTTCCGGGATGTTCTCCACATAATCCGAATCATCAATGTCCGAGTGCTGCACGATGGCAAAATAATATCTTATTACTTGAATGTATCTCTCATAATAGATGTGATCTGATGAAGTTAATTTAGTTTAAATTATTTAAAAACGAAAAAAATAATGCTAAGAAAATTGCTCGGAAAATTACTTCGAGGAGCCCTGAGTAAGGATTATGGAAGCTGGAGTGCCGGGATTTAATTCTTTCAGTAGTAGACGTAATATAGACGATTTGCCTATTGCATCGACTATAGCACACAATTAACCTGGCTTGATAGAGTCC